GGCCACTGCACTCCAGTCTGGGCAACAGAGTGAGACTCCAACTCAAAAAAAAAAAAAAAGTAATCCCTAATAATTTATTCATCCTCAAAAAAATATTTCTGTGAAAAGAAATTTATATTTTGGCTTACAGAGTTATCCACAGACCCATGAAATCTACATGACTCCCTAATTTAAACTGCTTTTATTGGTTCTATATATGCACCTGATGCATACTAATAAGGGAAAGCTTAAAGCACATTAAAAAAATATTTAAAATATGAAGAGGCATATCCCCATAAATCAATTTCCTTCCAAACTTGCACTGAATTATTTTGTAACCTGTGAATATAACAGATTGTGTATAGCAGGATTTATCTAGGAAATATACTCTTCATTTCATTTTGGCCTTTCGATTTACTGTACTTACAGGAAACAAAACTCAAAAGACTTCAAACATAGAAAGTAATTGAGCTTATTTTTTTTAACGTGTACTGCACTGTAAGTACAAATGGGGACTTGTTAATAAGACAAAAAACCAGAAACACTCTGTCTTTCCTTTCCTGAGGGTATCTTTAATTGGCCTCCTCTAACATAGCACATTATATATTATGCATTTCAGTTCCTGGGTTGTTTACCGTAACAGAATAGTTTTCTCTGTGAAAGACCTCATGAGAGCTCCACCTTGTTTTTCTAAGGTTCCCAGAAGGATGGCGGTCATATGGCATTAGTTAACCATGCATCGGTAGAATATAAATTATTCATGAACAGAAGTAAGCAGAAGTGGCATCCACAAATTCAATTTAGTCAGAAGAACTGGTGAAGAGGAATACTTATTACATTGAAAACTGTGAAGTTCTCCTACCCTCCCGGTCCCCCATGAAGTCTGAAAGAGAGGTATTTCCAACAAATGCCTCCTCCTCTGTACCCAATTCACAACCTCAAACTTCCACTCTGTAACACTCTCTAGTCTATGTCTAAGCATAAAAGGAAATAAATACCATGGGTAGAAAATTAAAGCGTATTTTTATGTTTTAAGAACTATTATTTTCACCTAAGAAGAGATCTATTTATCCAAATTCATGTCAATAAGTTTAAATAAATAAAAAGCTTTTTTAAAAAAAGACTCTACCTAGAAGATACAGCCAAAAACAAAATTTGATAACATAACCCCTTTCATTTTTCATATTTTTACTTTATAACGTGTTGAGTACATCACAGGTATACTAATAACTTTAGTAATTGGCATGATAAATTAAAATGTTGTTATGGTTTCTGTTTTATCATATAGTCATCTCTTCTTATGAATGAAAGGCCAACTAAGAATTGGAAAATCAAAGGAATGTGGGAATAAAAGAATGAAAGGCTCACAAAATTGCCATCTGATTTTATCACAGGCCACCATTTCCCCTAGGTTGCAGATTTCTGATCAGTCAGTCGAAAACAGATTCATTGACCAGAAATTAGCTCTTCACTATAGAGTGCCAGAAACATCTCCTTCATTAAAAGGACAGAATACCTGGGGTTTTTTGTTTTTTGTTTTTGATTTATTGTAGAGACGAGGTCTCACCAAGTTGCCCGGGCGGGTCTCAAACCCACAGGCTCAGGCAATCCACTCGCCTCGGCCTCTCAAAATGCTGGGATGACAGGCTGAGCCACCGAGCCCGGCCAAAACACCTGTTTTTTAAGGAAATCACATCGCGAAATCATTCTGAAAACTCACCTTGCCTTTCTGGTTCAAGGGCTCAATTGTCAGGCTGTCAGGGCCAATATCCACAATGTTGCCCATCTGAAATCCATCTGTGGGGTGTGGCGCCCAGACAGGCTTCCCATCCTCCATTTTGATGGGGACTGTCCACTCCCTCCTGTTTCAAAGGAACAAGTAAAGCAACATGAAAACCTTGGAGACGTAAGACAAACAAGAGCTTTTTTAAAAGTTCACAGGTCGGTTGTCACTCACAGACACACATCTACCCCTGCCACAGATGGTCCCCACTTCATCTCTCCATCTAGCTGCCCCGGCCCCCTTTACCCACCTTTACCTAAGGCCACAAATCCTCTAGAACTAAAGGCATAAGAAGAGAGATCACTGCCTCTGGGAAATTGGTCCTTGCACTCTGAGAATGCAGGGACGTGCTCCCTACTCGTCCTCGCTGAATACTCGGCATAATGTCTGCGCTGTTTTCTTATTTTTCACTGAGGCAAAATTGATATGCTTTGAACTGCACAAATCTAAGTGTACGAGCGGATGAGTCTGGACAAATGGACAGACCCATTTAAGGACCACGCCATTCAAAATATAGGACATTTCCATTGCTCCAGAAAGCTGGCTCATGCCTCCCCAGACTTTCCCCTCCCCATCCACCATGGGCATCCCCACTGTAAGGAACAGAATGATTTATTTTCAAAATGAACCCTGAACCATGTTTAAATGCCTCTGCTAGGTCACTTCCTGCTTCTTTGTTCTCTTTTTCGCGGGCCTGTTCTAGAACTTCATGGTTTGCAAATCACATTTAGAGATCATATAGTACGTATCCTTCCAAGTCTGGCTTCTTTTGTTCAACAAAATGTTTTTGTTATTCAACATATTCAGCCCTGCTATGTGTGCTTGTCCACTGAATACTATCCCACGATTGTACACCTGCAGTCTGCTGATGGATCGGTTTTGCTACTGTAAATTCTAATCTAATTTTTCACTTATTCCCATAAGACTTCTTTCAGACTTGGCATTCTGAGACTTAGCATTTGTAATTCTGTCTACTGAGAGTAGCTAAAAGGATCCATGACACGCAGGATATTTCATTTTAATGAGCCCAGATGTGATGAAACTCATGTGTAATACTGAATCAGTCGGTGAAGTGATCCCAGATGCTCCAGGGTCAGTATCTCAGTGGGAACTTATTTTTTTCACTCCTCATCTATATTAGAAGACGAGCTTATTCATGTGCCATCATGCTGCTCTGGTGTGGCAGTCTCCAAACCGGAGCCACCATACAGATGCTCTCAGGCATCGTCTTTCACAAAAGTCAGGACGTTTGGGGTCCAGTTCAGTCAAAAGCTGCTAACCATCAGCATGGTTGCAACTCGCTTGTTGGTTGATGTCTCTCATGCAGTGGCTACAGGATGGGATGCTTTTCCCATCCAGCAAATGCTGTCAGGTTTACGTATAATTCCATGTCAACAAATTAGATGAAGATTTTGCATAGACGTGAATCCAACAAAACTGTGCAGGTGTATACTACCACATACACACCTGTATCCTATCTAGTCCCACGGCTCTAGATATTGCCTATATGTGAGTGATGTCCAGTGTATTTCTCCAGCCCAGACTTCCATGGAGCTCCCAGATGAGTACCTGCCTACTAGACATCTCCTAGTGAATAGACCTAATAGATATAGCATCACTATGATGTTAATATCACTCTAGTCCCCCACCCCAGTCTGTTCGTTCCTGTATCAGTGAGAGCACCAACAATACTCATTCAGATCAAACTGGAGTCATCCTCCATTTCTCCAATGCCTTCCACATTCATATCCTTTTGCTGGTTTTGTCAGCTTGGCCTTCTGCAGGTCGCTTGTATCCACCTACTTTTTTGCATCTCCTCTGCCATCCTAGTCCAAACCGACACTGCCTTTTGCCAAAACTTCTGGGATTAACTTGGCTGCCTGCTTCTGCTCAGGCCGGTCTGCACAGGTCACGAGGCATGCCACTGAAAGGTGAATCTGACCCTTTGCCAGCCCCGCCCTGCCAAGGCATGACAATTCCTCTAAGGCCCCATGCAAGGCAGGCAGCAGAGCACTCACTGGCAGATGGATGGACCGGTCACACAGTTGGGAAGAGAACAAGGAAACAGGAGGCCAGACAGGGCTGTCATGTCTTCAGACCCAGGCTTGAAACTCAGCCCCGCCACTTTCTGACTAGGCCTTAAGCAAGAGCCTTACCTACTCTGATTTTTATCTTTATCCTTGCCCATATGGCAGGATAATATCACTTACCTTCCAGAATGGTTGTGAGGATTAAGTGACATAAAACTGAGATCACCGCTCCAGTGGCACCCAATAGACACGAGTCATACCGCTCCCCCTCCCCTCCCTCACATCCCTTGTTTGAAGCTACTGGTCAATGGCCAAGACAATGGCCTGTGGTAATTCTGAACACAAAGGGAAATCACAGAGTAGTCATGAGGGGTCATTTGGGAAAAACTACCTGGAAAAAAAAAATCATGCCATGTGTAAAACTGTGACGGTGAAAAAATAAGAAGAAAATCAGAGCAAGCAAAACCCCCAAGTTCAAAAAAGAACAGCATATTCCCTTGAACTATTCAAGCGATTTTTTCCCCATTTTAAAATATGTACTACAGCTTTCCAAATAAGATAACAAATTTAAAGGCACATACCTAATGTCACTTCTTCATCAAAGTCCTGCTTTCTTTTTTTTAAGTTGGAGGCTTTATTTTATTTTTCATTATTATTTTTTTCATGTAATTTTTTTTAATTATAAAGGTCTCTGGAATGAGAAGCTCAAGGAGCAATTATGGGTGTGCACATAAAAATGGTGACAAATTCACTCCTGGACTCAACTTGAGTAAGGCTCCTCTGAGCCCTCTACTCAATGAGGACTCCACCCCGGTCTCCATCTTTCCCCTCTCCTTGCCAGGCCTGCACACAGCCCAGTTTTAGTGAGAATCCTGCGAAGTCAGTTTGGGTTCCCCACCCTTGACATGTGATCAAGTTCCAATCCCCACCCTTGATGTGCAAGTCTGTGACCTGCCTTCAGCAGGAATCCCGTCAAGTCGGTTGGGGAGCCTGTCCACCTGTCTCCATGAATGATGCTCCGTCCACTGACCCACTTGCTCTGCTCTGTTGACCTGAGCCCCCGGCTGCCTCTGCTGTGTTCAGAGCTCAGCCCATCTCTCCTCCCCTGCAATGGCCCTTGCTGGACACTGAACAGAGATGTCCGCTACAGACTTCACTGTGTCCCCCCAAATTGATATTAAACCCTAACACTCAACATGATGGTATCTGGAGATAGAGCTATGAGGAAGCCATTAAGGTTAAATGAGGCCACAAGGGCAAGGTTCTAATCAGCACTGGTGGGTGTATAATAAGAGGAAGTGACATCTCTCTTCAAGCACCAAGGAGAGGCCACATGAGCGCACCAGGAAAAGTATAAGCCAGAAAGAGCACGCTCACCAGACCCCAATCCTGCTGACACACTGACCTTGGACTTCAGGCTCCAGGACAGTCAGAGAGTACATTTCTGTTGTTTAAGACAAATGTTCTTGGTATTTGGTCATGGCACCCCTACTAGCAGACTAATAGACTCCTACTGCAAACGTCCTGAAATGGGTACTCCTTACTATTTCAACAAGTGTCCCAATAATTCTTCTTTGACAGCATACTAGGGCCAGACTCAGTGGCTCAGCCTGTAATCCCAGCACTTTGGGAGGCTGAGGTGAGTGGATGCCTGAGCCCAAGGGTTCAAGACTAGCCCAGGCAACTTGGCAAGACCTCATCTCTACAAGACATCAAAAATTAGCCGGGCATAGTGGTGCGCGCCTGGAGTTCAGCTACTTGGAAGGCTGAGGCAGAAGGACAGCCTGAGCCCAGCAGGTGGAGGCTGTGGTGGCCGTGAGTGTGCCACTGTACTCCAGCCTGGGTGGCAGAGTGACACTCTGACTTTAAAAAAAAAAACAAAGAAAAACAGCATACTAGTAGGAACGAAATAATCCCAAGAGTTATAGAAGATAAAGTTGAAGCAATCTTTCAAAGAGTCAAGAAAAAAAGAGAGAAAGCTGGGGGAGGGGGAGATATTAAATGAGACTAGTAAAAAAGACCAACAACAAAATCCCAGGAAAAAAATCTCTCCACCTTCCAAAAGTAAAGGGAGAAAGCTTTGAAAGAAGAAGAAAATTTACAGGAACAGAAAGACATGATTTTCTAGAGACTAGCCAAAAAATTCAGTTCTCAATAACGTAACTAAAAAACAGACACACATAAAAAGGCATCACAGGGCAACCCCCTTGGGTCCCCTCCCACCGTGGGAGCTTTTCTGTCCACTCAATAAATCCTGCTTTCAAAAAAAAAAAAAAAAAGACACTACTGTCAAATTTCGGAACATCAAAACAGAGAAAAGATGGCATACATTTCCAGAGTCATGAGAAAAGAAGGAAAAAAGCACAGGCCATATTCAAAGGATCACAATGGTTTCTGCAACGTCCAAAGCGGTAAGTCAATAAAGCAATGCTTTCCACATCCTGAAGGAAAGTTATTTCCGACTTTGAACTCCATCCCTAAGCAAACTCTTAACGTAGACTGGAACGCTGTGACCCAAGAGACACCTACCACTCTCGGACCAGAGTATGGGGCCCAGCTTCTCATGTGGATTTGTCTTGTTCTATGTGATGATCATGTACTTCTGCCTGAAAGAAGCTGTGGACACTCACTTCTCCCTCCCTGTTAAATTAGCATCACTTTCTCTCCAGTGCAAGGTTTTCACTAAAATAAACCTCTTTTTAAAATGTCCTCATTTTGGCGGGGCGTGGTGGCTAGGCCTGCAATCCCAGCACTTTGGGAAGCCGAGGCAAGAGGACTGCCTGAGCCCAGGGGGTTCGAGACTACCAGGCAGCTTGGTAAGACCTCATATCTTTACAATAAATCACAAAAACTAGCCAGGTGTGGTGGCGTGCCCCTGTAGTTCCAGCTCCTTGGAAGGCTGAGACGGAAGGATCACCAGAGCCCAGTAGGTCGAGGCTGCAGTGGCCATGGGCATGCCACTGCACTCCAGCCTGGGCAACAAAGAGTGAGACTCTAACTCAAAAATAATAACAATAATAATAACAAAAATCATATGATAACTAAACATCTTCATTTC